AAAAGTGTCTGGCATACAGTAGGCACTCAAATATTTGTTGAATGAATGATGCCCCAGACTTCAGTTTCTCAGGTGACTTAGTGGTTAACTACAGTTGTGAGTTGGTGATCACTGGTCTAGAGGTTACCTTGAATTGGTATCACCCTACACTAGTTGCCTGGGTTCTCACCTCTTTTATTCCCTTTTAAAACCAGCAACACAGTGACTCCTGGTGGCAAACCAAACAAAACCAGAGTAATCTGGGGAAAAGTAACTCGTGCTCATGGAAACAGTGGCATGGTTCGTGCCAAATTCCGAAGCAACCTTCCTGCTAAAGCCATTGGCCACAGAATCCGTGTGGTAAGTACAGTTATTAGCAGTATGACACTGGGGTCAAACTAAGCTCGGGTTTGGGCTCTGACCTCTAAAGACTATTGTGATTTTAAAATCACCCCATGAGTTGTGCTTCAGAATTATCTACCGTGTAGATGTATTATGAAATATCAGATTTCCTGGCATTAGAAGGAAAGTGAAGGCAAAGTGTTCAGAAGGATTGTATCTAGATTTCAGATTTTGCTAAAGCTTGGGGTCGGGGGGATAGTATTTAAATGAACAATTTTCTGGCAAAGATTTGTTGAACACAGAAGTGATTGTTAGAAAAGAAAAAATTTTCCTGGCATAATTCATGATATTCCCGTTTCTTCATGACAGTCTTGTTAGAATAGGTGTTGTTATTAGCCTTATTTTATATAAGAAAACTGATGCTCATGTTTCTAGGTCCCAGGACTTCAGCTCAAGCCATTGAGTCCAGATCCTGTGGTTTTCTAAAACAGCTCCTGTTTTCCTTAGTATTCATTTTTAGTAGACAAGGCTATATTCTTGGGATCACATGGTACTTTGGAACCCTTCTGAGCCATTGAGATTTTTCATCAGAAGGTTTTTACTCTGTTATTGGAAGAAGCAAAATTAAGTGGATTTTCAGGGTTCCCTGTACTGGTTCTTAAAGTGTGTTCATCTAGATACTATAAGAATTTAGTTCTCTCCCTGCTAAGATGTAAGCAGTCATTGGATCCCTTTTAGAGATGAGTAATGGGACAGTGGGAGGAGATTTATCCATATTGTTGTACTCAACTGACATTTACAAATTTGTATATAACACGCATCTAATTACACCCTGTTTTCTTTTTTCTTCCTAGATGCTGTACCCCTCAAGGATTTAAATTTAATGAAAAGTAAATAAAGGTGTAGATTTGTTCTCTTGTATTTTTGTTAAATGGCTTACCATTTTCTTTTTCCTAAATTCAAGTTGCTGTATTTAAATGGTGACGATTATCCAGCATTTTCAGAGTACAAGGAAGCCAGGGAGCTATATGTAACGGTAATTACAGAGATTTAGACAATAGGAGGGTTTTAATGAGGGTAGGGAGGTTAGAGTATCTTAATACAAAGCCTTATGTGATGGGGGAGGGAAACAAGCTTTGATTGGAGCCAGTGGGAAAAGGAGTATGTTGGAAGTTTTAAAGTGATGGAGCACATGTTGTCTGAAAAACTTTTGTACAAATGGAGACCATGTATTCCAGGAAGGACAGAAGCCAGAAGTATTAGCCAGTACAGATAATACACCATAACACTTGGCCAGGTTTCCACATCAAAATGGATCTATAACTCTTAAGTTTATTTCAACTTCGATATTGTGGTATATTACATGTAACTGCCTTCCTCATTAGATTGGGAGTCAGTGAAAGAAACTTAAAATTATTTTGATGGCCTCCTTAATTACCTTAAAGTGTATGCACTTATTCAGTATAGATCGGTTGGGAAACTTGTGACATAAAAATGATAGTTGCAAGAACTTAAAATGAGGATTATATAGAGAGTATCTGGCAGCTTGTTTAGATAGGCAAGGATGAGATATCCTTGGGATGTGTGGCTGGACAAAGCATGCCAGTATAGAACACTTGACTGGTAATAATGTGTAAGTTAAACAAAATACGTCTCAAAAAGTACTCTTAGTTGGGAGTGGGGGGAGGTTGCCCAGACAGTGTAGTTTGGTTCTATGTTTTAATGTAGTAAAGTGTAGGATTGAGATACTTCAGTGTAAGATGAAACTAAAGCAGGGCTGCAGGGTATTTCAGATCTCTGAATTGTTGAAATAAAGTTTGAGCCAAGGCATCAGTTTGCAGTATTGTGGCTGTAGATACTTGATTGTTGCAGTAGCAGCCAGCTAATCTTTTTATTAACCACCAAATCTTGACATTCCACTGAAAATACCAACAAGAAACTTGAGACTTGGTCAAACTGAACCCCTTTTACAGTTTTTAATTCTACTTGGAGTAGCATACAGCAGTTATAAGAAAGGTGTGTTTAGCCCAGTGGTGGTCCTCAAGCCAAAAGTTGCTGTTGGAAGGAAAAATACCAGCTTTCACAGAAATGGCCTTGTGCTTGTACTGCAAGGCTCATTTGGGCTTATGTGGGAAGAACAGCTTCAAGGCAAAAGAGGTGGATGTGGGTCAGATGCAGCTTTGGTCCAATGTTAACCATGTTTTCTTCACAAGATCTAAGCATTGTATTTCATGGCCACAATTTGGTTATAAGAACCCTAAGAAAATTGACATTGAAAAATTGGGTCAGTGGCAAGCACCAATCTCAGACCTACACCAGTGAGATTTAGTTGTTGAGAAACAACATAATCTAAAAGTATTCTCTTGTGTCATTTAAGTAGATGTATCAGTACTATTTTTAAATTTGAGAGTGCGTGAGTTGGGGGAGGGACAGAGGTAAAGGGAAAGAACCTCAAGCAGACTCCCCCGCAGAGCTCGTAGCTGGATGTGGGGCTCCATCTCACAACCCTGAGACCTTGACCTGAACCAAAATCAAATGCACTGCTTAACGGACTGAGCCACCCAGGTGCCCCAAAGATGTATCAATATATTGGAGTGGTTAGGAATAGAGGAAGAAATGCTTGGGGAGGTATTTCATAGAAATTGACTTTTAGGGGGCGCCTGGGTGGCTCAGTTAAGCATCTGCCTTCGGCTCAGGTCCCAGGGTGCTGGGATCGAGCCCTGTGTCAGACTCTCAGCTCAGTGGGGAGTCTGCTGCTCTCTCTCCCTCTGCCTCTCCCCCTGCTTATGCTCACTCTCTTGCTCATTCTCTCTCTCAAATGAATAAGTAAAATCTTAAAAAGACTTTTAGGATTTATGTGAAAGCAGAAGGCATCTGAGGAACTCTTCAACTGGGTTATGTAACTGAAACCTAATACTGTGAAAAATAAATAGAAAACTAAGAAATGGCTAGATTATGCCAGGTTTTATGTGCTGTACTAAGGATTAAGAGAATTCAAAGACCAACTGAGGAGTCTTCAAAGTTAACATTCCTAGCTTTGGTTGTGGGGTGGGTAATAGTACATTTACAAAGTTGGGGGACCAGAAGATCATTTGGGGGGGGGATGTTGAGTTTGAGGAAGCTATAGGATACTCAGTTGTGAACATGTCCAGGAAGGCAGCTGGATGTTCATGTCTGGATTAGGCATATAGAGGAGGAAACCTCATAAAGCCTGTCACCTTTGTAGGAGTTTAAGTGAATACAGTATTCTGAGAAGGATGATGGTAGAGTCATGGAGGTGGATAAACAAGTGGGCATTTGGGCAAAAAGAAGTCTGAGAATCCCTAGGATGACCTGAGAAAATGCAGTGGCAAAACAACTTTGCACGCAAATTCGTCCTCTTCAACTGATTTAATAATACAGCACTTGTAAATGAGAGGGTGCTTTATGCATTTCTGTTCCCATAATGAGATTCGGTGAGTACAAAGATAGTCCTCAAGCCAAAGGTACCACTGGAGGAATCCTGTGTTTCAGAGAAATGAGGTTGAATGGCTAGCAGTTTGTTGGCTGGATCACTGAAACAGCCTCTCTCCAGCATGACACAACTGTTAAAATTAGGAACTTGATGTTGACTGGTGCTATTCTCTGTTCACAATTCAGTTTCTTTGTAATCTTGTAGTGGAAAAAGCACATGTCCTGAAAGTGATAAATTTGGTTTGGAGTCCCAATTTCCACTAGTTGTGGGATGATAGACTCATTATGTAATGAGCCTTTACTGGTAGAGTGACCCACCCTTGAATTTGAGTACATTATCTTTACCAATGAATGGCACAATCTTGGGGCTATTCTTTCTTTCCTATCTCCAGTTCCTAGTACAGTAATTTACAGTATTCAGTTCTGGTTAAATGACTTCCAGTTCAGTGCTTCCAATTACTTGTTTTAATTGTTTAATGGGCCTTGGGGGAAATACCCCAATTTTCAATTTTTTTTTTTTACAGTTCCTCATGGCCTAGATTGAAGGTAGAGTTTCCTTAATGGCAAGGATCCACCTGGTCTCTTCCTGGGTTAAATGCAGTTACAATTCTTGCGGTTTTGTTTGGTTTTTGTTGCAGTTTTTGTGTTTTTTTTTTTTTTAAGTAGGCTCCACACCCAATGTGGGGCTTGAACTCACTACCCAGAGATCAGGAGTCACATGCTGTACTGACTGAGCCAGCCAGGCGCCCCTAATTCTTGTTTTGTTTTATAGAAGTTAAGGGATGGGGTTGAATAGGAACGAATATATTGATTTTCTAAGAAATGACTAGTAAAGAAATGGTCCTAAAATTGGTGACTGAGGATAAAAAGTAAAAATGAAAATTATATTCCATTCATCTTTACACAGAGGGCTAAACCATTAAAGGTCCTGCATCAGATTGTTTAAGCCACCTGGCACCAGTGTGGATGCCTATCTTTAAGGTGAGTAACTGAATTAAAGAGAAACGGCCTCATTCCACCATCCCGTTACAACACCCACTGGGCTTCCTACAGCCCAACTCACGTGGTCCACTAAACGGCACTTACTGGCAGGCTTTGCGCTTTGAGACGCGATGGCCGCGATGCGGTTCTTATCCGCGGTGAACTGTAGGGTGATGCTAGCCAATCAAAAATTCCGCCGGCGGCGAGGGGCGGGGCTGGTGCGGGGTGGAGACGTCACGTACTCCATGGTAACGACGCTCGGCCCGAAGATGGCGGCCGAGTGGAATGGAGTAGCAGGTTCCTCCGGTTCAGGCCCTGGCCCTAGCCAGGGGCGCTGGAGTAGGTCTTTATGGGTCCGAGGCGTTTTACTCCTGTTGGGCGGCCTCTGGGCAAGGTCCACATCAATTCCTCTCTCCTTGGACAGTTCCCCTCCCTGCCGGCACCACGTCCCCTCTGAGACTGAGGTAGGGTGACGGAGGGGCGGGAGCGGGCGCTGTGAGGGTAAAGTAACACGGGAGGCGAAGATATAGAGGGTGGTTTTTGGAACAAGGTATGTTGGAGAAGAAAGCGAAATTGGACTAGAAACTGAACTCTTAGGGGGCTGGACCTGCTATTGTTGCCAGGTGGACCTTGGCTCCTGAGGCCTTGACCCAGCCACTCCAAAAGATGTCGCTGGAGGCTCTTGGTCTGCCAGGAGAAAGAATTCAAGGACGGACAACACAGTAGATGAGCAGTACAAGCAGGAAAGTTTCTTCAAGTCAGAGTACACTCTAGAAATGTGAGAGCGGGTACGCTCAAGGAAGTGCTGAGCCCACTGCGTTTGGATTTCTGTTATTGACAGTTGTTAAAGGGGTGGAATATTCATTACTTGAAGTGAGGATTTCTTAGAAGCAGGGTGGTCTCTTCCAGGAATGTAGGTTATGCCCTTTTTCTTGCCTTATTTGCCCCATAAGGAACTCTCGCGGAGATTTCAGAGGCGGAGCTCCTTCAAAACGCAATGCTAATGATATAACAACTGTATAATGAGCTTAGGTCACTCACGCTGTCAAGATGGGAGTCCCGTGTGGTTTTCTTTTGGAGTGCTGCCAGGGCAGGCCTCTTCCTTATAGTTGGCCATGACTTCCTCTTTGCTGACCTCGCGGCATCTTGTTAGAAGCTAACTAACTGCCTGCTCTAACAGTATTAACTCCCTTTCTGCACCTAGCAAAGTGGCTGAGTTAGGCACTCAGAACATGAAGGCTTTCCTGTACTGAGAGTTGTACTTAGGTAGTTGTAGAGCAGGGTGGTTTTCAACTTGAGAGTGCATCAGAATCACCTAAAGGATTTGTTAAAAACACAATTTGCTGCCCCACTCCCCCACTTTCTGACTCATTAGGTCTGGGATGGTACCCAGAATTTGCAGTTCAAGTTCCCAGATGGTTGATGACGTTACTTGTCCAAAGACCACACTTTGTGCTCTACTGACCTAAAGGTTTTGGAAGAAGTTGATAGGAGAGCTAAAGGCATTGCAAGGATGTTGGGGGGTTCTCTGAAGACAAAATTCAGGCTTATTTTCAAGTTACTTCACCACATTGCTTGCTTTACGCTATTCTCTTACCCTCCTTCACACTCTTTCTATTCCTCTTCATTCTTTTAATCTTAAAGTTCCCTAAGTTCAAGACCGTGAGCTGAAACCGCTCCAGCAGAATGCTTTTTCCATTTCATAGTATGTCTTATCTATAATCTCTTCTGGCACTTAACCAAGTACTGCTGTGTGGGGAAGGTTTATTTCTCAGGCATTTCTTTGTAGTCTTTTGTAGTTAAATTATAAGGTTCTTTCGGATGAGGTTTATGTCTTTGATTCCTCCACAGTATTTAGAGAGCCCACAATAATCAGTGTTCTTTGAGGAAAGGAGATAGAGTACCTGGGGCAGGGTGGCATGTTATGATTGATTTTATAATTTGTCTTACTACTTTATCAAGAAAGTCTGATCTAGAAATTTTCAGTTCAGCCCAGAAATCTAAGACCACTCATTTTTGTGGTAATTTTCAAAAAGTTCTGTGCATACTGTTCATAACCATATGTGCCAAAATACTAAGTTTGGGGCTTGTAGCTGTATTCCACCTTTTATCATGACTCTGCATTTTGGCTGAATTTTATTTATTTTTTAGTCTCTTAGCAACTTTTAAGTTTATAATACAGTATTGTTGATTATAGTCACTATGTTATATATTAGATCTCCAGGGCTTATTTATTTACTGGTTGCAAGGTTGTACCCTTAAACAGTATATCCCCAGTTCTCCCACCCCTGATGAATTCTCTAAAAAAAAAAAAAATCCTGTAAAAACCTGTGTTTCTTTCTTAAAAGAATGTAGATTACAGTAAGAGAAAGCTATTCAAAGAACTGCAAAATCTCTCCACTAGAGGGAACCTAAATAGCTGTTTCTTCTAGTGATTATTGCCAGTGTTCAAAACTCCAATTTATATTTGAACATCTCTGTGGATAGGGAGATTATCTCCAGATTATCTCATCTTTAATAAATTTTCCTAGTTCTTCATAGAGTATGTAATAGCAAGTCCTCCTAACCACTATCTTAACTTTAACCTAGACATAAAATATAGGCAAGAATTATTCATTGTACTCCTACTAGTGACTACAGCTCTGTTAAATGGTATAGGAAATTATATTACATTTTTTGGGTTGTGGTGGGAAGTACAAAACATGTTGGAAAAAAAAAAAAGCAAGTGGGGAGGTGTGGGGAGGCACCTGGCTGGCTAAGTTGGTAGAGTGTGAGATTCTTAATCTCTTGAGTTCAAGCCCCATGTTGGGTGTAGAACCAACTCAAAAAAAAAATTTTTTTGGACACATTTAAGTTTTCAACTAAAACCTCTAAGTTTCATTTTTTTAATTATGTAAATTAAACCCCAAAAAAACAGAATAGTATAATGGACTCCCATGGACCCATCACCCAGCTTTAACTCTTACCATATTCTCTCATTCTTTTCTTTTTTCTTTTTTTTTTTAAGATTTTATTTATTTATTTGAAAGCGAGAATGAGAGAGAGAGAGAGAGAGCATGAGAAGGAGGAAGGTCAGAGGGAGAAGCAGACTCCCTGCTGAGCAGGGAGCCCGATGTGGGACTTGATCCCGGGACTCCAGGATCATGACCTGAGCCGAAGGCAGTCACTTAACCAACTGAGCCACCCAGGCACCCCTTTATTCTCTCATTCTTGTTTCATATACTTTCACCCATTCCCCATCCTCTCATTTGTTATTGTTACTTTTAAAAGTTTGCTGTTGGGTCACCTGGGAGGCTCAGTCGGTTAAGTGTCTGTCTCTTGATTTCTGCTCAGGTCATGGTCTCAGGGTTGTGAGATCAAGCTCCATGTAGGGCTCTGTGCTGGGAGTGGAGCCTGCTTGGGATTCTCCCTCTCTCTCTCTCTCTCTGCTCCTCCCCCCCCCAAAAAAAGAAATATTATTTTAAACTTTTTTTTTTTTTAAGTAATCTCTATGCCCAGCATGGGGCTTGAACTCACAACCCCAAGATCAAGAATGGCATGCTCTACCAACTGAGCCAGGCAGGTGGCCCTAAAAGTTTTCTTGTAAAATTTACATGTATTAAAATGCAATAAATGCAATAATGTGAAACTTGTAACCACATGATATAGAACATTTCCATGTCTCCAGATAGATCCCCGCTCCATTTTGTGCCAGTCAGTCTCCCCCGTCCAGATACCCCAGGCAACAATTGTTCTCATTTTTTTTTTTTTTAACATTAGTTTTGTCTTGGGACCCCTGGGTGGCTCAGTCAGTTTCAGCTCAGGGCATGATCCCAGGGTCCTGGGATCGAGTCCCCCATCGGGCTCCTTGCTCGGCAGGGAGCCTGCTTCTCCTTCTACCTGCTGCTCTCCCTGCTTGTGCTCTCTCTCTCTCTGACAAATAAATAAATAAAATCTAAAAAAAGAAAAAGAAAGAAAATTAGTTTTGTCTCTTCTAGAGCTTAGTTTACACAAATGGAATTATGTAAAATATTTGTTATCCAATAGTAAATTGTGTAAATAGCAATTGCTTTTTGTGATAGACCCTATTTGGTCTTAACTTAAGGGTATTATCCTTTTTATATACCTCTGAATTCAATTTGCTAATAGTTGTTAAAGATTTTTGTATCTATGTTTATGAGTAATGTTGGTTTATAATTTCTTTTTTTAGTGAAGTTTTTGTTCATTTTTTAAAAGATATTGTTTATTTGAGCAGGGGGAATGTCAGGTAGAGGGAGAAGCAGGCTCCCCGCTGAGCAAGGAGCCCGATGGGGGACTTGATCCCAGGACCATGGGATCATGACCTGAGCCAAAGGGAGCCGCTTAACCGACTGAGCCACCCAGGCATACCTTTGTACATTTTTGATACCAGAATTATACTGCCTTCACATAATGAGTTGGGAAATGTTCCATCTTCTTGTATTTTTTAAAAGAGTTTGTATAAAATTGAAATCATTTCTTCCTTAAATGTTTAATATAATTCATAATTGAGACCACCTGGATGGGCCTGCCATTTTCTTTGTAGAGAGTTGTTTTTTGTTTTTTATTTTAAGATTTTATTTATTTATTTGACAGAGAGAGAGACAGCGAGAGAGGGAACACAAGCAGGGGGAGTGGGAGAGGGAGAA